CAAGAACAGGGACTGACTGCATCCGCTGTCGTAGCTCAGCAAAAGCAGCCTGTTGTTCGGTAGCCCATACAAACGGTGTGTCGTCGCGTGTAAGGCGAGTCAAGGGTTCCGCTATCTTCGAAAATCTTCTAATAAATCGTCGATAGTAGGCGCACACGCCCAGAAAGCGCCGAACAGTCTTTTTGTCTGTAGGATGCGGAAACGCGGCTACAGCGGCAAGTTTGTCGGGGTCGGGTCGGACTTCTTTGGCGTTGACTACATGGCCAAGGAATTTGAGCTCTTCATAACCAAAGTGACACTTCTGCGGTTTGAGTGTAAGATCTGCTGATTGAATAGCCTGTAGCACACTCCTGAGGCGGTGAAGGTGTTGCTGGAAGGTTTCAGAAAAAACGACAACATCATCAAGGTATACGAGACAAGTTTGCCACTTCAGACCAGTAAGCACAGTGTCCATCATTCGCTGGAAGGTTGCGGGCGCTGAACACAAACCAAAAGGAAGGACTCGAAATTCATACAGGCCATCAGGGGTCACAAATGCCGTTTTCTCGCGGTCTCGCTCGTCTACCTCAATCTGCCAGTACCCGCTTTTTGAATCAAAAGAGGAAAAATAGTGGGCGTGGCGTAATCTGTCTAACGAGTCGTCGATGCGTGGCAGCGGGTACACGTTTTTTTTAGTCACGCTGTCAGCTTCCGGTAATCGACGCAAAAACGTAGCGTTCCGTCTTTCTTCTTGACTAGGACGACCGGAGAGGACCACGCACTGTTGGAAGGCTCGATGATGCCGTCGTCAAGCATTTCTCGAACTTGCGTACGAATGGCTTCTCGTTCCTTCGCTGACACACGGTAAGGCTGTTGGTGTGCTGGCCGGGCGTCGTCGTAAGTGATGATTCTGTGCCTAGTGATCGAAGTCTGGCGCACCTTAGAGGAAGCAGCGAAGCATGACTTGAATTCAAGCAAGAGTTTTCGCAGTGCTGTCTGGTTTTCTGGTGTGAGGTTAGAATTAATATCGATATTGTTAGGGACGTATCGGCGGCCTCCACTGCTTCCGACGAGAAGCAGATGGGAACGGTTCCTAATTCATCTGCAAACGCTAACGAAGTGCCACGGAAAAGGTGTCGATGTTTGTTGCTGAAATTTGTAACGAGCAGTTGAGATCGGCCATCACGTAGCTGTATGATACTCCTAGCCACACAAACACCTTGAGTCAGCAGGTGTTCAAAATTACTTTCTGCAATCGCTTCACCATTTCGCAATCCACAGCATGTGACGTCGACAATAACACTGGCTCTTGGAGGAAGCGCTATACTTTCAGCAGAAACACGAAGAACGTCGGTACGTTGTTGGTCGTCCTGCTTGTCGATTGCTCGGTCGGCTGAGAAGGTGATGCAATTCTCTTGAAGATCAATGACAGCTCCATATTCCTGCAGGAAGTCAACACCAAGAATAACCTCGCGTGAACATTTACGGAGCACAAGGAAACTTCCTACAAAAGTATAACCGCAGACCCGAACTCTACTCATGCAGGTTCCAAGCGGAGAAACGGTGTGGCCACCAGCCGTTCGAATCACGGAGCCATGCCAGGGCGGGAGTACCTTCTTTAGTAGTCTGGTCATTTTCCCGCTTAGTATCGAATAGTCAGCCCCGGTATCAACTAAAGCACCTACTGCATAGCCGTCAATCAGCACCAGTATATCCAGAGAAAGCCGCACATATCGCTCAGTCGAATCTACACCCTTTACTGTTAGCGTCGATTGGAGGTCTTCAGCACGTCGACTGCCAGCGACCTCGCCTCCAAGGGTCGCTTGCGTTAGTTTTCCCGGCGGGGACTGGAGGACCGTGCGGCAGCATGGCGCTGTGGCGAAGATGAAAAGCGCCTCGTTGACGGTGAGCGTGACTGCCGTCCAGAAGGCGGTGGCATGCGCTGTTGAGCCAGGTAGTCCTCAATGTCCCAGGGTCACTGGCCATACCGAGGAGGCGCTGAATATACTGAAAATCCGCGCAGCCCGAGGCGCCGGTATGGACACTGGCGGTACAAATGGTCCGCTTCACCGCAGTGGAAGCACAAAAGTCGGCGATCAGGAGTGCGTCAAACATCAGATTTCCGAGGCGAAGCACGTCTGTCGTCAAGGTAGTGTGCTGGTTGTTCCGCAAGATGCACAGGGCTGGCGTAAACGAGGGGTGGGGGCGTGCGTGTGTTCTCGTAGTAGCGTAGAGGCTGCGCCGACTGAGGTGAAACCGTAGGAGGTTCCTGAACAAACAGCGGGGAAGAGGAAGCTGGGCGCTTCAAGGCTTCTGCATAGGTCGCACGGTGGTAGTCAGCAGGGGCGGGTGTGGCGTTATTCAGACTCCCAGGGTCACGAAGGGCATGATGCAGCTCGTCCTTGACGATGCTTGCAATGTAACTCACCGTAGGTAGTGGTTGTGTGGCAGCCTTTTGCAGCTCCTTGCGTACTATGGAGCGGATAAGGTTGCGCAGACACTCGGTGTTGCTCCCAATATTCGTTAGAACTTGAGCAGTGGACGTGTTCACTTGCCGCTCATACAGGGTGGATCGATGCTGAAGCATCTTTTTCATCATGACAGCTTCAGACAAAACTCGGCGACCGTGTTCGGAGGGCTCCGTACAAGGCCAGCGAAAAGCTGCTCCTTAACTCCCCGCATCAGGTGACGCACCTTCTTTTCTTGTCATACCCTCCCGTCGAAACACGCGCGTCATATCTTCCACATAGGTCATGACAGTTTCATTGGGCATCTGGATGCGGGCCTGGATCGGTCGTTCCGCTCGTTCGTGGCGATCAGCTCTTCTGTAAGTATCCAACAGCCGGCGGCGGAATTCGAGCCACGATGTCATCTGTTCCTCGTGATTCATGTACCAGGTACGTGCTCCATCCTTCAAATAGAAGTACACACGTCGTAGTTTGGCCGCGTCGTTCCAGTCATTCAAAGCAGCCACGCGCTCGAAGTCGACCAACCAGTCCTCGACGTCTTCGAGCTCGGTGCCATGAAATGGTGTCAGAACCTGTGGACTTTCGAGGGCGTACCGAGTCACCGGGGGGTTTTCCGTACCTGTTAAAGTGGTTTGAACGGATGTGCTCATCATACTGGTGTGAACTGTAGGGTCAGCTTCGGGAGGCAATCCCCTGATCCTGCGGCTTGTCCGATGAACGGGAGTGTTGACTCGCACTGGGCTTGTGGTGCCGCTTCCAGGAGAGGTCTGAAACATCCGTGAGGGGCCTACCCCGCACCTCCACCAATTGTCACGTCACTCAAGGGGGTGTCGACAAGGTTTACTGACGTCTGAGCAACAGGGCTCTAACCAAGCGCGTCGGTTGGGCTTGTTTGCCAGAGCAGGGGGGAGGGGGGCACGTGCACTTCTTTCTTCTCTGTGGTGTGAGCCTTCACCTTGGCATACGACCCACTACTAGAAGTAGGTGGCAATATTCTGCATGTGCGTCTTTTACTAGAAAAGGCATACATAAGTAATTCTAAGGACCGTAGCGTTTTTCACGCTGCGCTGGCCATGCAACGGTTGCACGATACGCCACGTGTTTCCAACGCTTTGCTGACACGACACGGTGGTGGCACCTACCCGTCGCCTTGCGTTCTACACCTTATCACCTCTGAGACGGGCGCACACGCCCGTCTCATCGCCACGCGTTTCGTTTTCCAATAAAACTGTCAGATAGCGCTCATGTATCACGTGTGACATGACTTGATGCGCTTGTTAGCCTCCACTGCACGCTCGAGGCACTCTAACGCAGCGCCTCCAGAATACCATTCGCCAATTTTCTTGCGCAGAACATCAAATAAATGTTTTGTTGACTCTCTCCAGACGAAAGACTATTGTCTTTCGACGACATTTGCAGATTAACATGCAGATACGTGGCCATTTTTTTTTCTAGGAACTTCATGCTAGGCAATGTGGTGGCACCCCCTCTCACAACCCTATTGAGTCAGCCCGATGTCTTCGAAACATTTAAACTATATTCCGATAACTATTGCGGCTATTTCTTCTATATTTCGGCTAAGTTATATTTAGTCAATTTTAACCCTGGTATATGTGCACTCGTAGCCCTGATATGGGACATACTGAGTGCGAAACTGAGAGCGTCCTCACTGCAAGTGAGCTGCATAAGTGGATGCCAAGCCGAGTCACCGAAGTGCATCTCACCTAGCGCCAGGCTTGAGGGGAACACGCAACACAGTCACAGCGAAAGCTAGAATGAACACCTATCTAGAGTTCTTTGTAAACTGTGTTTATCGCGCACCTCTTCTAGCTACGTAGCTACACGCCAGAAGCCAAGAGGCGCCGAAACGATGCAGTAAATATGGTGTGCTGGAAACCATAAGCTGAGGGCGAGAGATGTGGGCAAGCATTGTTTCTGTGCACGATGGCATTTTTCATGTGCGCCAATATCGAACATATCCTTACAGTACCTCCATAACTCCAGAAAGCACAGTCATGGCGCGCTCGTGCAGTGCAAACATGTAACAAGCTCTGCATGCTTCCTTGCCAAATAAATCATGATAGGATGCAGCAGGCAGCACTGAAAGAAATGAAGTACTGCAACGCAGACACCGTTGCGTCTGATTTCAAGTTTTTTGGCGATGTGCAACTTTAAACGGTGCTAAGTGCCCCAGAGAGTGTGAGAACGATGCGTCATTTATGCTGACCCATACTTTTTTCACAAACACTTGCATTTTTTGTTGAAATTTTGCCTAAAGAGTACTTCATTACTGGGGAATAGATATCTTTCGTATTGCCTGTGGTCCATCCTATTAAAGTGCAGTTACCAAAACTTCGTGAAGCACTATATATGTGCTATGGCTAGCCATCCTCACGAAACGATGGTAGAGTAGCGCGTTTCCGCAAGTTGCGTTGTGGAGGTGGTTGAATAAGTAGGAGTTTCTCTTCTATGTTTTATTCAGTGAATAATGAGTACGTTACTGGCTTTTCGAGAACAGTTAATTATTGTACAAATCGTGTTCCCCGTCCGCAGTGTACCTCCAGAGCTCACCTTGTGGGAACGCCGCCGGCCCCAAGCTCAACGTCTGCGTCCGCAACATGTTCAGGAATTTGCAGAAAGCCACTGAAAAAGCAGCACCCAACCAAGCTGTTTATCATGCCTGCTGGTTTGTATACGAAAGAGGTGCAGTTCGTCATAGGATAACGTTTGATAGGCACAGCGTAATGAAGCTAGAAGATAACAACAGCAAGTAAGGGATGCGGGACATTATTTATAAGTTTGGATTGCGGTCTTCAAAGTATGAAACAATCACAAGTGAATCCTAGAACCCCCCAGGGTTGGCAAGGTACCTTTTAATTGTGGATAATTTGTTGGAGCATATAGTGCTCGACGTGTGTTTTTGTGTGACAGGTTTCCTTCACAAGTCTCAACATCTATAGGAACACTTTAGTAGAGATCAACTATTCAATGCTCTTTTCGAAGTCTTATGTTGGACGAGAACAACGATCTCTTGCCTGCATATTTAGCTCATCTTTATGCTGAAGCTTGGCGTAAAACGTTTTTGTGTGTGTGTGTGTGTGTGTGTGTCTCACTTATGTTCCCACTATAGCATCGGCTATATACCGTCACCACAAGAGAAGACAAGGCTAGGTGTTAAGGAGCTTCGCCCCTAAAAGAACTGTTCCGGTGGTAGTAACGGTTCATCTAAACCTTCGTTGATGTGTTTCTCTTCGTTGGCTACATTATGCTGCTGGTAGGTAGCCACATTGCAGTCTTGAAGGGAGATTAAAGAAAGAAAAAAATTCACGTATTGGTTAAGTACAATTTCATAGTCTTAAAAGACATGACTTTTATTGTGGGACCACGCTTGGTAAGCGAAAAAACGCGTGAAAAGAAAATGCGGACTGAAACGGCGCCTTCAGTTTCCCACACCAAACACCATGACTTTACAGCTTTTCATGGCGTCTGCTGGGTGCTAAGAAGTATCTTATGGTGAAAATGAAGTACATTGTTTTCGGTGGTGGCCTTAGACCTAACGTATCAAGTTAAACCAATTTTTAAAGCTCATTTTTTGACAATGTGAAAAAAGCACTGAAATTTGTGACGTTCCGCGTGGCGACTTCGGCGAGAAATTCGAAAATTAGACCGTAACCTCGAATTCCTCAGCTAACAACGAACTTATGATAGTGAAGCTATTAGAGAGCAGTTGATAAAAGTAAACCACGTAATCTTCCACTTTTGTGTCCGTTTAAGGTATAGAACCTGGTGCGTTAGCTCGCCTTGACGACAGACTCTTCTCAGAACAGTCAGTGCTTGAAAGGCGACATGATCTGTCTTCGCACAGATAATCAGTGAAGACTTTATAGAACTTTTTGCGTGGTAGTGGCTTCCTGAATAGACTATAGCACCCCAGCTCACTTTTTCTTTTCGCACGTCTATTTCGCTCTTCGTTTTTTTTTTTCTCGTTTTTCTTCTCCATCCCTCTTCTCTTAGTGCAAGGTAGCGAACCGGATGCTGCTAATTTTGTTAACCTCTCTGCCTTTCCCTCATTTTATTCTCTCTCTCTTGCAACTATGTCATATTGTGGCACCTGTTTAAACTTGGTTGTCAGAAATTACCCGCAGCTAGACTTGTCAGCTCCATTGCCAGTGGTCACCCATTGAAATATATTCGCGAGAGCCCCTATTGCACTAAAATTGCGCGCTCTGTGGTCTTTATGGAAGCAAGCAATAGAATTCTGACAATCACATGATTCAGTGCAATGTAATTTGTACTGTGCTTATCAGGCCAGGGTGCATACTACTTCACAAGCTGAAACCTTGCCTTCTAAAAGAATTTGTATAGATCTTTGCATGACAGTTGCTCAACATGGATGCATCGGCTTGCTCACTGTGGGAGCCAAGTGAACTTGCCCGAAAATGAACAACAGAAGTGGAGAAGGTGGTGCCAGATAATTTGTGTTCTTTATATATATGACTCGCTGATTTTGTGTGTGTGTGTGTGTGTGTGCGTGTGTGTGTGTGTGTGTGTGTGTGCGTGTGTGTGTGTGTGCGTGTGTGCGTGTGTGTGTGTGTGTGCGTGTGTGTGTGTGTGCGTGCGTGTGCGTGTGTGTGTGCGTGTGTGTGTGTGTGTGGGAGTGTGTGTGTGTGTGTGTGTGGGTGTGCGTGCGTGTGCGTGTGTGTGTGTGTGTGTGCGTGCGTGTGCATGTGTGTGTGCGTGTGCGTGTGTGTGTGTGTGGTGTGTGTGTGTGTGTGTGTGTGTGTGCGCGCATAGAAAACTCTCACCCCTACGTTTCACATCGGCTTTTCACTGCTTGCTATAATTGATTTATTTCAGCTCACAGATTTTAATTGCGCTTTTGTTTCAAAAAGCTTGAGGTGCACTTTGAAGTTTACAGAGCGAAAAAAAAAGGTTCGAGAAGCCCTTCAAACCCTTTTTGCTTCCTCAAGGTGGAAGCGTCGACGGTATCGCTGGACCGGACAATGTCCATAGCAGCAGACACCATCCGACGAAAATGTTAGGCGCGGAGAGATTTTGGTGGCGCCGGCTGTCGTATGCTGTAGTCGACGTTTGGCGTTACGCGAGCAAAGCTGCGTGCAAACAAACAAAGAAGCAAACATGAGATTGAAAAAGAGAAAAGGGAACATAGCAGTAAGAAGCAAAACTGAACTCAGTGGAAATACAGAGAGGAGAAAAGTCAGAAAGAAACTGGAAAATGAGACGGGATAGAAGAGGAGAAAAAAAAACAAACAGAAACAAAGAATCTTCGCATGTGTGTTGTATACTACTACCATTACAATGGAATAGCCAGCTCTAACATAGCCTATCTTCCCATATTTTTTCGCATATAAATTGAGAAGTAAGGTTGTATAGATATACACTACATCCTCGCTTTGCACTCCTAGTACGAAGCTGTTTTTTTTTTTCGCTGGTCGACATCTGGGTTGGCGTTTTCTTCATTCACAATGCGGAAGGATGTCACAATGCGTTTATATCACTTCTTTGAAATAAATATTCAATGAAAAGACATCGATGGGCATGTTGAAGTACATTCGAAATGTTGGTAATGTTGTAATAACGCTCATTACTATCATTACAATCATTCTACAATTTATTGAACCCTCAACCTTATTCATTGAATAAAACGTCTATGCATACGTGTTTCTGCAATTATACATTAGTATTTATACAAGAGATGTAATTCGGAAAGGGAGGCCTTTTTTTTCTTGATGTTGGTGGTGCTTTCTTCGTTTACAACTCGGAGGAGGGTTTACGTCTATGTCACTTTTTTTTTCAGATAAATAGTCAATATCAGGACAATAATGGGAACGTGAAAACTCATTTTAAAGATTTGGGTTATAGTAATGCTCCACAGTATTAGTGATACAATTATTCTACATGGTAAGGCAGTCGCAACTTCAGTCATATTGAATAAAACGCCTTTTCATACGTGCTTCGGCCACAATACTTTAATTTTCCATACTTGTGTTCTATTCCAGAAGGCAAGGTAATTTTTTCCTTGCAGTTAAGCGACCAATATTGCATAAGGTGTCGCTAGTCATTAACCTCAGAAGGCAGCAGAAGCTTAGGCAGGCAAAGTACAGCAATTTGAATGGCTTGATCGCAGTATTTGTTGCTTCTTACTCTTACCGTTGTTATTATTATTATTATCGTTATTGTTATTATTATTTTTGTTGTTATTGTTGTTGTTATTGTTATTGTTGTTGTTATGTTATTGTTGTTGTTATTATTATTGTTTTTATTGTTATTGTTATTATTATTATTATATGTTGTTGTTGTGTTGTTGTTGTTGTTGTTGTTGTTGTGTTGTTGTGTTGTTGTTGTTGTTGTTGTTGTTGTTGTTGTTGTTGTTGTTGTTGTTGTTGTTGTTGTTGTTGTTGTTGTTGTTGTTGTTATGCATTGATGATAATTTAAAAACACACGCAGCTACTTCGGTGAGCTGCTGGACTGCGTTGACGCTTCGCTGGGCGACTGCAACAACACGGCCGAGTCCAAGGAATTCATCATGGGTCGACTGGAGCACATATTCGGAGAAGCGTTCAGCCTGGTGAGCGGCACCTACACGCGTGGTTCGGCCAGCTGCGCCACCCTGCCCGTGCTGCCCGAGCTCGACCCAGGCGCGGCCGAACCAGTCAACAACCTGGTCGAATACGGCATACTCGTCATGCAACTGTTGGGTCGACGCAACGCTGACACGCCAGTAGGAAACTGAAATAAAGGTGTTTTCTCGTTTAGCTAAGCACGCTAAACTGTCACCCGATCATGTTATCTTTAAAATAGCTATTGATAGGTAAACGGACTTCGTAAGTACGGAAAAGAAAAAAAAACAGAGGAAGTGAACGAGGATAAATGGCCACATGACAATGAACGATGACACGGCGGTAGGAAAGTGTTATAAAGGTGTTCTCTCGTTTCGGTAAGCTCGCCAAACTGTCACCCGATCATGTTATCTTTAAAATGGCTATTGATAGGTAGACAAAATTCGTAAGTTCAGAAAAGGAGAAAACGAACGAAGTGAACGAAGATAAATGGCCACATTGACATAAATTTCTCCAACGGACATCATGCACAACTGCGAATTCCTAGCGCGAAAAATACGGAGACAAAAGGAAGAGACGTAGACAACATGAGCGCATGTCTACGTGTACTCCTTTTGTCACCGTATTATTTGCACTAAGAAACAGAAGTTATGCATCTTTACCAACCTGCCCAACTTGCCGAACTTACCAATCGACTAGCTGTGAAGTCATAGACGAAGCAAGCTAACATACGAGAAAAATATGTCAAGACCTCAAGAGGTGCTTCGTGCCACACGCGCACTTCACGCATGCTTCAGCTTCTCGTCTGTAGCATTGCAAAATAAAAGAATGCTATGCTTGGACTGGTAGATGTATTGTTATTTTGGAATACATTTTCATTTGTTGCTCACACCGGCTGCCGTATACGGTTATGTACGGTTTTGTTATCTGTTTGAAGTCAGCATGGGCATACATTGATATTCTGCGCATGTGAATAAATCTTCAGTTGAGAGTTGGTGCTAGTGTTTCGTGTTTCTTTTCTTTCGTCTGCATTTGTCTTACCTTGTGGTGCCGATGCAGTAGTCTGAACCTATACATTGACTATACTCACCATTTCTCGGCACATGCGGCTATTATAAGGAATCAGCCAACTCTGATCGTGTCATAGGGCATCACCTATGAGTCACCACCTATTACCAGGTTATCTAACTGCATAGTTTCAACCACATGGTCTTACGGTACATCAGTCCAGAAAACCACGTGAGCCCTTCCACAATTCTTGAAGGCAACATCACCGATTGACAATCTCTGAAACCCTGCACTGTGTGTGCTGTGTAACTTGCACCTCCTTCTCTCTTTCTGTCTCTCTCTCTCTTACGTCCTTAACACCCTTTCTTCACGCGTATGGTGGCAAACTAAACATAGTCTTGTTAATCTGTCTACCTTTCTTATATTCAATCTCTATCCCTAATTCCTACCGCAGATCTGAACAAACGTAACACATCAACTCATGAATAAGGTGGTCATTAGAAACTACATCAAATCCCATTTAACTGATAGTGTTATTAAAAATAGGTTCACATTCACCAACTTTATTGAACTTGCAGTTGGACAGATGAAAGGCTCTCGCCCCGCCGCGGTGGTCTAGTGGCTAAGGTACTCGGCTGCTGACCCGCAAGTCGCTTGATCGAATCCCGGCTGTGGTTGCTGCATTTCTGATGGAGGTGGCAATGCTGTAGGCCCGTGTGCTCAGATTTGGGTGCACGTTAAATTTCCGGAGCCCTCCACTACGGCGTCTCTCCTAATCACATGGTGGTTTTGGGAAGTTAAACCCCACATATCAATCAATCAATGAAAAGCTCTTTTTTGCTAGTGTGAAAGCTCTGCCACCTCTAGAATTTCGGTCTTTACTGTGGCAGGTGTTATTCTCTGAAAACAAAGGAGCACCTGCTATATCATCACCTAAACATGTTTAATCAAGTGATGAACATGCTAAATTTATGAACCTTATTTTGTTAAGCACTTCGGCAGTTTATTACACGAAACGACACAGCGATTTTCACAGTGATGACTTCCCATCAGGGAAACAACGTGCTTTATCTCCTCATTACAAAGATACTTCGTGACATTGAACAACAAGGTGTCATAACGACGGCTAACTTTGTTACCCTCTTTCTTATAAGTTTTTGGAAAGTTCCACTGCTGCTTAGTTTTCGAGCGTACTACGTCCGAAAAGTCTTCAGAAGTTGCAACCTGACTGTCACTTAACGGTTTAGAGTTACTCGAAATGAACTGTTTCTCCTAGTATGAAGGAAACCTTGAAATCAAGGGACGACGTTTTTTGTTTTTTTTTGTCGGTCAAAACCTGTGTAGGCAATGCGCAAGTGCACTCAGTATAAAGTCGGGGACACGTATATAATGCACGGAATCCGCGCTCTTTTAGCGTTATCAGTTTTACGCCATAAAACACGAGATAGCAGCGTCGGCTTTGATTTTAAGGTCGTCAGCTTTTGCCGCAAATGACATGGTATTTCGACACTAATAGTCACGTGCATTTTTACGCTCTTTTGCAGCCACGAAAAGCTGATCAAAGCTAAATGACTTGACTTCCATTCGTGTTATGCGCCCATTTATGTCATCAATGGCGTTCTTATTTTCTGCCAAGGTTTCCTCTATGACTGGAAGCCTAACTTAATATCTGCTTGCCCGTAAAGAAGCAGCGCTAACTTTTTCTGGCTAGTGTGACCCGGATCAGGTTAAGCTTTTCTGCACACAAAAACCAAAAGAATGTAGAAAGCATTGCATCGCAAAAGGTGGAAATGATATAAGCCTGTCGTCTATGTCTACATGATCTTTCCTCGTAAGAAATCATTTGGGGTGGAACCAGCAGTACATAAAAACACTGTTAAATAAGATCCTTAGGGTCCACTAACTTAAAAGAACCGCACAAATAGTCTGAGTGGCACCGTCGCTGCCATGCCGATTCGACACCCCAACAAATGAGTGCCAACGCCTTGCTCACAATAGCTTAGCGATAAACTCGTAGCATTTCCAATGTTCGTAGACCGGTGGCAGCACACCAACTAAGTTCTGCAGAGCTACACACAGCCATGTTAGATTGACTAGTACATGGGAGCAGCCGGAACATGCTTCGAAAACTGAAGCACAAACAAGATCAATTTGTTTGTGGCGCTTTGGTAGGTAGTCTGCAACATGTCGTCACTTCAAAAGTTGCGGACGGCTCATCCAAAGTAGTATTACGCAGGCCGTTGAAATTGTGCATCAGTTTAGCTACGCTACTGGAAGCGATGTAAACAGGGCCAAGTGCCTCGGGCTATGGTATCAATTATGGGCAGCAAAGCCAGACCATTTCTCCGACATGCCTTGAGCAATGACCCCGGGAAAATACTTGAGCGTTACCACTTGATTGTTATCGGGACAGTGCCGATTACTGCAAGGGGCAAACAAAAGATTTACATGAGAAAGCGGCAAAATGGAAAAGTGCTGCGTTATCGATATTCGCAATAGCCATCATTTGCAATGTCTTTTTCATCAACAAGTATGTGTTCGGGGCGCTGCACTGCTCCCAGACTGACGTGCAGAAATTCCACAGAATATTCGGTACGTCTGTCTGGGTGTCTGATTGGGAGTGGTGAAGCCGTACAAACTTGTTTCGGTGGGTATAAAAAAACGGGGGCTCGGTTCAGGGGGCCTATTTTTACGTAAGTTGGTAAATCGTTTTTTGTTCTTGAGAGACGCGAAAGATCCATTCTTCCGCGCACTCATACAATTACAACTGCAGCGACTGCTCCCGGAACTGGTCATGTCGACCGAAGATTTGGTGGTAGGGATTGGGGGCTTTTTCAAGGAAATAGTGTCCAGTGTAAGATTTTTACGTGTACGCTTTTCCCTAGAATATCTATCTAGTGTCAGACGTAAATATTTTTACTTTGCTTTCAATGACATTGCCTTTCCTGTGCCGCTTTACCGGTCCTCGTACAGTGTAGGCCCAGGTAGCAACGTTTTAAAGAGAGTTAAGAAAATGCATCTACGGCCTGGTGCCGAAACTTTCTTCTTTAATTGCATTCGACCACTCTGCCAGTAATATCATTTTTTAGAGAGAAAGAGAATTTTTAGGCATGGGGAACACAATTCTTAATTTGCAAATTAGCTGAAACTATTGATCATGTGTTTTTGCATTGTTGGGAGGGGGTTTATTTTCGGGACGTGCTGCAGCGAGCCATAAAGAAAGAGCTACCTCTACAGCCATACGGAATTTGGTTCCTAAGTGTTGTCAATGAATATGAGATATTTATTGACGCCATTATTCTGCTGGGCCTCCACTCTCTGTGGATATCAAGAATGGCAGGCTACTATTTTGACAAAGATGCATGGCCTGCGAAAGCGTATTTTCGCGAAGGTGTTGATTGGTTTGTAGATATCCTCCAAGCTGCGCTAGAACTACCAGACATGCTCTCAAGGGTAAAGGCGTTTGCGACTTTACCCGCATTTTAACCCGACGATATGGACACAGCTCTGGTTGACTTACCAGTCACCATGTGTATATTGTACGTTGTGTAATTTTGTTGTCTTGGTGGCGTAATATGTTCATTACCAAAGCCAGGTATTAAATTTAAAAAATAGAAAGTAGTGAACGAATAAAATGACCGCTTCCCATTGAAAAGCCTAGGGTTCGAATCGCAGCTCTAATTGGTGCATTTTTATTCCTAGTATAACATGTACAGCTGCATTGATTTCCGTTTCTTTTTTATGTCCATAGCTTCGGTTGCAGCGTATTGCTACAAAAAATTGCACAAAATGTCAAGCAATGAAGAGCAATTTTGACAGTGCCAAGCCTATTTATTTGAGTGCCACCGCAAGGGATTCACTAAAAGCGTAAGGTGAATACGAGTCAATACGAGACTCATCCTGTCCGTGCTCGATACGCTGCTTCCGACTGCTGCAGATTACTCACTTTAAAAGAAAAATAGTGGAAGTAAATGGCCTTTGGTTAGCATAAAACCACGAAGATGTGAATACTGCGAAGTCAGCGATGTTCTGTACGTTCTTTCATTGTCCCTCTGAAACACGCATTGAAAAGCAATTATGCTGGTAAACTTAATGAGGCGATCACAAAATGTGCGTAAACCAGCGAGCATGTTGACATTGTGAATACAAATATAGCATTCATGTACACATTACTTGGCGAATATATACATTTAGTAAAAAACTAATGACAGAAGTTTACACTGTATTCATGACCGGCCTAGGTACAACTTAAATGATGGATACCAAGACTTGTGCTTGCCACAGATACGCTCGCTGTGAAACTTATTCTCCTTTACTTCACATTTAGCCTTACTTTTTGTAGCGTTTCACAAGTTAAACCAGTCACCACCTGATTTATTTTTAAAAAAGACTCCGTGTGCGTAGCTGTGATGGGGGGGGGGGGCGCATATTTAACACTACGTATTAAATGTGCGCTCACCTGTGGCACATGACAATAATAAATTGACTGTAATGTAGGGCGAACCTGCTCAAAACTGTTCTCCTACTATTTTATAGCGGTTTCATACACTACCACAACTTTCTACAAAATTAAAGCATGACCAATTCATCGCTGAACGTCTCCATATTCAGGGCCGCACTCCCACCACAAATGAAAAGATATTTAGCAGTACCGCTATCTGTTTCGCTGACACGCCCTTCCATTTGGTGCCCCCACATGGTATTTTAAAGAAATGCTGTTAAGCATAAGCAATTACATATGAATTGAGCAAGCCTTTCTCTGCAGATCTTTCATCGTGGGCATGCTTATTGTGCTGTTTCATGACCTACTTGCAACTGATACGCAGACAGTAGCTGCATCGCCCCGCCGCGGCGGTCTAGTGGCTAAGGTACTCGTCTGCTGACCCGCCGGTCGCGGGATCGAATCCCGGCGGCTGTGGCATCTGTATTTCTGATGGAGGCGGAAATGTCGTAGGCCAGTGTGCTCAGATTTGGGTGCACGTTAAAGAACCCCAGGTGGTCGAAATTTCCGGAGCCCTTCACTAAGGCGTCTCTCATAATCATATGGTGGTTTTGGAACGTTAAAGCACACAAATCAATGAATCAACAGTAGCTGAGTCAGTAAGCAACAGTATAGCTAGCTGACACGAGCCCTTTGCTGGCGGAGTTGCAGCCGACCGCAACCGGTTGGCAACGATGGACTACAGGCCATCTAGTGACGCAACTCCGGTCACTTACCGACCATCAACCCCCCTCCCCTACCCACATTTATTAACGCGGCATGTGGTTGAGAATAACTCAGTTAAAAGTAAAACAAGAGTGGTAATATATTTCTTTAATCGCTTAGTGTTTGGAAGGGATTCAGAAAGTACCGTAAATCAAGGTTGCGTTTTTGTCACAGTTCTGACTGGCGCGTAAATTATGCGTATTCTGTCAAATCTTCCAAGCACGTGCGTGATTTCTGCAAGCGAGCACATAGGTTTCCACACAGTGACTTTGTGGCACAACTTTATCAAATGCAATTCACACTGCTTCGAAAAAAAAGTATCATAGGGATTATCTTTAGCACATTTAGCAATAGGCGTTTATAGTATGGGTAAACCAAAAAAGTTTCGGCCCCTTTACACCTCCAAAGAATAAGGAGTAAGTCGGAAAGTCAGAAGGCTGAAAACACCTTTTGGCAGCTACTTTATATTTTCATTGAAGCGTACACATCCAGACATATGACTTCGAGCTTGAAGTACTACAGGTCGCCGGGGCTCTTGAAAAGGTTAGGCGTGTCGGGCACACCCATTGGAGGGGTGTCCGGCTGACATGCCGGGTCAGCCTTCTGCACGAGCGGGTGTTGTTGGAGCGCCTCGTAAATCCGTCGCACCGTCGGGAAGGGTGTGACGTCAATGCCGAAGCGGTAAGCGTTGCACACTTGAGGCACAAGGCAGGCATCAGCGAAGGTCAGCTCATCACCGAAGCAGTACTTTCCGGATGTCTCCGCAAAGATGGCTTCCAGTGCTGGGAGTATTTTTTGGGTGGGGCGAGGGAGTTCGACAAATAATAAATGAACGAATCATTTCACCGCTAAGGTCAAATGCTTATAGAGTTGACCAGATATGCAAAATAGTTATGCCGAAAGCCAGAAGACATTCCCACTGTTCAAAATTTTAACCAGATTAGTAGGGTGCTTGATTACTATTTTGTCACTGACTTTCCATAACGACAGCCTCAACATATTACATATTAACCTCGTTATAGCGAACGCCTATATAGCAAACTATTGGTTTTAAAGAATTGAAAACGCAATTTCGGTGTGGTGAGTACTGTTACATTGACAATTATTCAGCAATTCAAACAAGAACACCAGCACCGCCACGGTATCGACTATAAAGAATAAATATTGGATTGCACGAGGCTCGAAACGGAAAAAGTACCGAAAAATAAAAAATATTAAAGCCGGCTGAAACCACGCCTTTTTTAAATGTGGTAGTGTCATAAACATTTTATGAAAATGTGGTCACAATATCCAACAGCATCAGTGATGACCTATATTCTCTAGTTCATTTCACAGCTGCATGATTTCTCCCAATTCCCAAGATGCTGAAAAATGTGGTGAAGCAAATACACTACACGAGTGGTGCCATAAGCTGCTGTCGCATGCGATGCTATAGTCATCAAGCCCGTCTTCACGCTGCCAGGACCCATTGCTATCCCACGTAGCACGTGACATGGTCATGAACACATTAGTTGTTCAATACACTGTTTCACTGTTCTGTAGGTAATTGCATCAGGATAAGAAAGCGTGCCTTTCACTGTGCTTTCTGTACAACATAATGACGGCCGTGATGCCGTCAGTGCATACGCTCTTAAACATGTGGCCATTCATACAAGTAGTCCTAGTCGAGTTGTCGTTAATTACACTCACCAGTAAAACCACGAGTGATGTTGCGCTCAGCCCATTTCTTCCATTCCACCTTGCCGAGTATTGGGATCAGGCCAATGGTTTGAATAGGCTGGACTCCAGAAACAAGCAGCTCGACGACCTCTCGGCACTGCGAAAAAGGTGCCTTACTTCCGTTTAGTTACGCCAAACTTCTGCTTACTTTCGGAAAACCTTGAGTACTGCCTTAATGGAAGTGGGAAAATAACCCAGGGAAACCACGTGCGCTTCGACACCACAACCCTTCCTTTCTGTTTGTTTCTTAAGTCCATTCTTTGCACAATAAAAACGTGACGAGATTTACAGCTAACAATTTTTTTACCCACAGTTCATAGTAATTACGGCAAAAAAACATTGGCGTTTACTGCAGTTTCACTTTGGCATGATTTGCCTACAGACATCACATCTCGTGTTTCCGTGGTAGCCTTCAAAAATGACCTCAAGTATCACTATCTTAACTAAGTGTATCATGCCATATCTCGTTTCAAATCGACTTTTTTTCTCTCATTACCTGTACCTTTTGTTTTCTCTTCATGCGCTTATTCATTTTCCACTGATATAATTGTAAACGCTTTAACTCACTTTTGATTTTGCTCCACATTCCGTTCTTTGGCAGTACTAGTCTGTATATGCACAATTAACCAAGGGTCCCACTACAGTTTCTTACTTTGGGACGCTTGCCTGTATATTGTTCATGTTGTAACATCTTGTTTTGAAAGCAATAAACTGAAACTGAAACTGAAAAACGCGTGCGCTATCACACTCAGACAAGGTGCAATTCGGTGCTAAAAGAAATACCCTCTGCTAATGCGTTTCAACACGAAAAATAGGTTTTGGTATTACAACACCTTGTTGGCAAAATGATGCACGTGTACAATGACAAAAAGCAAAACTTTGTTTTTAGATTCCAAGTTTATGCATGCTCACAGCAAGAAAATGCGCACCAAAAAACGTCCAACATTTTGCTGGCAAGCTGTTACACGTAGCGCAGTTATGAAATGAAAGAAAACGTGATTTCATTTCCTGCTAAGGTTTGTTCATATAGTTTAGTGCTCCGCATTGACTTCGGCTATGGAAGAATCCGTAGTGGAGGGCTACAATAATTTCAACAATCTGGGGTTGTATAACGCGTACTGAAATCACATAGCTTATCTGCTGGTTTAATTGTCGTAAGTTAACTTCCAACTGTATAAGCACTAGTCTATCCTGCACGTTTATTTGTGAAGTTCATTCGTTTTTTTTCGCGTTCACTCTTTCACTAAGTTTGACGTGTCACCGTACTCATCATTAGAGAGCTCTTTAGAGGGAGATGCCACTATTACCTTAATTGTCCGTCAGGTTACTTTGCTCATTTATTATGAAAATTTCTCACGCAATTGGCTTAGGCGTGTTCTTTGGCGTGAGAAGCCACAAATGGAGTCATTGCAAAAATACAGAGAGGTTAATTAAACCTTCTTTTTTTCACGCATCGCATCATGTCAGCGCACTAGTTACAATCAAGATGTGTACGTTTTCTTTCATAACAGAAGGGGCAGGCAACACAATGACAACAATCCCACGCATACAGTATACGTCACACTACAACAATTTTTACTATAATGTTTTAATTGCTGTGATATCACTATAACATCCGATTTTTACTGTAAAAAAATGAAGTTTCATGATCAACATGAACAACGTAAATATCCACGCACACATGCTAAACTTAATGCCGAAATCATCAATAAATATAACAGTACTACTCCGGAAGTTGCATAATGTGCCATCTTTATGTGCATATCGTATAACGTGCAATATATATTTAAGCAACAGCTTACGAAGAGTTGCCAGAAAAAAAGAGAAATGCATATAGCTGATTGGATAGTTCGTGTTGGATGAAAATATATACTGATGCCACTTCGTTCTTAGAGATCTACCGCTGCTACGTATGCGGGATGGTGCCCCCTGTGGCTAGATGGCCTGAAGCACAAGGTGGTTATAGTATGACTGAACAAAGTATCGCCTCGAAGATGGCCAGTGTTGACAAACATACGCGACTCGAAGCTAACTTTGCTCAGTTTACCAAAACGCAGCGAATAATTATGAAAGAAACGCATTTGTAAGGGCCAAAAAACATCATGTTTATCACTATTTAGCTTACGTGGGTTCGCTCTTGTGCGCGCTCAAACAAGCTGACGAGATTTCAGTGTATTTGGTCTACCACTCAGTTTCAAATAAATATTTTTTTATAAGCACGCGAGCAATCTGAGTGCTCGGCTACACTATCGCAATCTTGAACACTAGCATAGCTGGCTGTTTGGTATGCGGGGGCCCGCATCTTGGCGAAGGTTTAGTTTTGCGGTCAAATGCACAAAATAGGCGAACTATTCAGCTCTATTCAGCTTGACATCAAACTTGAACAATATATACCGGGTAAAATTTTTGGAGAAGACGTTCACTCTGCTTCATGCAGCACATGACGTCAGACATTATATGACGTTAAAATGTCGGTCACCGCTAGTTAGTCAAACCATGGTCCCTCAATACTTTTACTGGTCATGAAACTCCCGCATAACTTAATGGTAGAGCTTCATATACCGCCCGCACTTTCCGCGCCGCGGCGCTGGCGTAGCTACAAGGAGGACGAGGAAGCCGCCATCTGCTGGCAGCCATTAGCCGAGTGTGAGCGCGGAGTGGTGTTGTTTGTGCTGCTTGCACCTTTCTTTTCTCTTTTCGCGGTCACCTCGTCGTAACCGCGATGCCCAACACCTGCTGTGTGCCGGGCTGTCGCTCGGGATACAAGGGCAACGTCGAAAAAGTCTCCCTGTTCTGTTTACCAGCCGACGCAGAACAACGCGACAGGTGGAAACGTGCAATCCCGCGATAGGAGACTGTGGGATTTTCGTTCGACTCAAAGTATGTTCGCGTGTGCGAAAAACATTTCGATGCAAGTGACATCGTACGTGCGGACGTGTGTACAGTGAACGGGAACATCGTTTCACTGCCTCGAGATCGGCCAAGACTGGTGGAAGGCGCCGCGCCAAGAATTTTCGGAGGTTTGCCTGCTTACCTCTCCAAACCAAAACAGCGTTCGCGTGGACTAACAAAGCGCCCACCTGTAAAAAGGCCGCGAGAGCTTTCTCCAGACTGTGATGCGACAGTTGCGTATGCGGACGTCTCCTTTGCAGCCGACGAAGAAATCTACAGTAACTCTGGCACAAAGCTTGCAAGTATCCAAACCGCTCACTACGTTCACAAATTTCTCTCACTATACGCTAACAAAATTGGCTCCTTCCCTTACGAAATTTGCTCTTTGTCAGTCTTTGCAGATGTTGTAAGAACTGAGAATCGCCCAGGCTTCGCTGATGCAGAGTGTGAAACAGAAGTCCCAGTTTGTTCAGCATCGGAGCTGCAGAGAGTGAAGGCGCAACTTCGCAGCGTGAAGCAACAGCTTCAATCATGCCAGCGGAAACTCGCAAAAGCGGAGGCGCACGCGAATAAAAAAGGTGGAATGTACGGAGATATTCACAAGCTGTCAGACCACGAGAAGCCCATTATAGACCAGTGCATCATGAAGGCAAATATGAAGTCTACGAAAGCAGCACGGTAAGATCCCGTTTTTTGAAGTGTGTTTGGAGTTTTACTTTGATAGTGCTGTTTGCTGGTGCTGGCGCTGAATCGTGAACACAAAAATCTGCATTTTATTTATTGCAAGTATAAAAAAGAATGGCTTTACGACTGTTCACTGCTGAAAATCAAATCGACAGCAGTTTATACATTTCTTCCCGAGAATGATTTTTTGCCTCTACCACACCCTCGCACGCTCTACTCCTATCTAAAAAATTTGAAGGCCGGCTTTGGATTTGATGAAAATTTATTTGCCATACTCAAAGACTTAGTGGGAAATATTCCAGAGAGAGAACGCCGAGGTATCGATTTTTATTTTTTGCATTTGATTTTTCTGGACTTTAGGTAAACAGCTGAAATAATATTTTTTCTTTAGGGGTCCTGATGTTTGACGAGATGAGCGTGAAAGGGAGCCTTCATGTAAGGGAATCGGATATGACACTGCTTGGAAAGGTCGACTTGGGAGAACACATGAAGCCTACTGACCAAGTGAAAGATGGTGACCATGTGTTAGTGTTCCTTTTCCGACCATTCCTCGGTGGCTGGTCGCAGACTGTCGGAGCGTTTTGCACGTCAGGGGCTGCACCAGGCTCCGCTATTGCTAAACTACTCCTGCATTGCATTGTACTCCTGTCGAATGCCGGTGTCGTTGTGGATGCAATCGCTTGCGATAACTCTACTTCGAACTGATCAGCATTGAACTCTTTAGGCAAATATTTATAAACATTATTTATTCTCATGGTATCTAGTACGTGATCTTAATAATTGAAATGTCTTCCTTCTAGGTGTCAGCGGTGATATCGCCAGAGTATCAACGTCATTTGAGCATCCATGTGACTCCTCCGAAGTCATTCAGGTCATAATCGACCCACCTCACATCTTCAAGTGCATCAGGAATAACCTTCTGAAGGCTGGAAAATTCCTGGTGGGTAAAACACAGTTTAAGATAAGTCATCACAGTGCTCTGGCTGTTTTGTCTCACAGGCTTTTTCTTAATGTAACAGTTGCCTAGTGACAAAGAAGTACAGCATTTCCACTTTGAAGCTCTGCTAGACTACGAGGAGCAGCAAGCTGGACTTCGGGCTGTGCCAAAGCTTACGAAAGCACACATCAGGCCCAACGCTTTCCAAAAACTGAGTGTGAAACTTGCAGTCCAGGCAAGTCTGCTCTAGCATGTCTAAATAATTATTAGTATGTAACGAAAAGTGCTGTTCCTTCATGAAAATACAGCACTCTGCCATATAACTTCTCTAAAATCTTTCTGCTCTTCAGTGTAAGCACCGCTTCAGCAATGGACTTCTATCGCAGTAGAGAAGAATGTGTGAAACTTCGTGGCTCCAAAGCAACACCGGATTTTGCGAAACGAACCAATATTCTATTCGACTGCTTAAATTCCAAGAATCCCACAAGAAGCACAACAGACCATTCGCTTCCATTTTTGCGAAAACCGCACGTTTCGGGAGACCGTGTCATGGTTTGTTTAACACCTCTTTAACGAGACAATAAAAAAACACTATACTTGTCTAGAGAGATTCGAAACAATCATTCCGGACGATTGTTCACATCAAATTAATAATAATTAGCTCATTTGAAATAAAATGAACTTCCCATCAATACATAGCGCCCAACGTTACTTGTGATAGCGCAGCTATTGTGATGTCATACTAAGTATTTCAACTGCAAGTGCGCGTTAAATGTTTCCTGATTATTCACACTTTTCTGTCTACAGTGCCGTGAAAAATGTAAACTTGTTCTTTTGTAATAAAAGGGCTCATCCTGCTTATATGGTACACAACAATCGGGACAGAGTGAAAGAGCAAGACCTAAGAATGTGGCATTGTAGATTGTTGCACCTGCTTTTCCACGTCACCACATTTCAGATATTTTTCAATTGTTGCCTGTAGTATCGCATTCCCCTAAAGATTCTTCAGCGACAAAACATCATGTCATCTCTACTTCGTGAAAGCCGTTGAAGTAGTAAAGCGGATGCCCCCCTATTATTTCCTTTCTACGTCTCTTTTCTATGTTTTTTGTAAGTGTTGCTATGTTTTGCAAGTTGATTCTGTTTATTTTAGTGTTATATTGTTCTG